AAGATACTTTCTAAATTGAGTGAAAGGAAATGCCAAGCTGAAGTACTAAGAGACAGAAATGATGGTTTCTCTGTATTCACTCTCACATAGGCAACCTAAAAAAAAAAAAAAATTAGAAACTTTCTAAGTAGAGGTTAAAGAGTCACTTGAAGTTTCTGGTTAAACAGGACCTGCTTCTTTAGGAACAATGGCGTATGCATACTGATGCGACAGGACAAAGCGAAGGCGCAACTGTGGAGCTTCCCTTCTGCGACACCAACATTTGACAAATACCAGCTTCCTCTCTGTCTTTAGAAAAAAAGTAACCTGTTGCGATCTCTTTTTCCTACTTGCATTTTTCTGATTTTACTGTAACAGAAGGTAAGCTTTTCCTAACACCACAGAAACCCCAAATGAAGTTCTGTAAAAAGCAGCCTCTTATATGAGGTACCAATTACCTAGAGACATAAGTTCTGAAATCAACAAAGTGCATCACTGAACTTAGAATACAACGTAGGTAAGCTGTGCTTCAAAACAGCAGTTCACTCTGAAATTTACCTGCCTTTCAAGGATAGAATAGGAACATAGTTCAATTTTTTTTAAAGAAGAGAATGTGTTATTTGTGTTGTAGATGAGTCAGTAATCTGCTCTCATTAATGTCAGAACAAGGGAGATCCAAGCAGCGGCAGATATGCTCTTCCTTAACTTTAGAGGCAGAAGGAAACTTGTGGGGGATATGTAAGACCTTCCCCCCTTTAGAAGTGATGGAGATCTCATGTCCAAAAGTAATTCCAGCAAATCCCACATTTTATAAGCTGTCTCCATCCCCTCTAGACATACTTGGAGGCCAGCTACCCATAGATACTCACTTTTAGCTTGGTTTTCCATCATTTCCAATGCTTGTTGAAAAACTTTTTCTAATTAGAGATTTTTAAGATGATCCAATTCAGTTCACATCATATCATGTTGCACTGTAACAGTCTGTAAATTTGCCTCTCCTTTTTCCATACTACCTTCCAATTTTACACCCATGGGGCAAATGCTTCAAGTTTACCTTATTCTACTCTTTAATGACTTTAATAGGCTGTAAAATGCTTTAAGAGGAACCTCAAAAGGCTTGTCAGGGTTCATCTGGTCTTGGGCTCTAGAAGTCTTCGAGGCAGCAAAATGTATTTACTCTGATAAATAACCAGTTGTTGCTCTTACCCTCTACTCTAAGCGAAAGGTGACAATGCTGATACTGAAAACTGGGAACAGTAAGGAATTCTGAAAAGGCCAGCACAAGAACCCTCTGTGCTGAGCTTCACTAAGAAAACCTCATAGGGAGGCAGGCTGCCATGATTCCTGCATTCAAAGTTGGTCATTAGCTAGCCATAGGGAAGAAACTTAAACCAACTCTCAGTCTCATTTTTAACATGTGGAAAAGAACAGTACCTATTTCAAGGGTGGTGGGAAAGATTAAATGAGGTCATGCCTAGAGTGTGACAGCTCATATTTAGTTCTTACAGGTCAGAGAACTCTGGGCAATGGCAGGACTACCTGTCCTACTCTCCTTTGGAAGTAGCCCAGTAAGAGACCGCAGCAAGAGCCAGGGTGAGAGGCTAAGGGTGGCAGAGGGCAGGCTTGATGGGAAGTGAGGAAGAACGTTTCAGGTAGTCATTTTTCACTAAGCTGCATTTCCTACAGGGCAGATTTCTGTACAAGTCTGTTCTGAAAACTCGAGTCCATTTAAAAAAAATCACCTTAGAAACGGTTCCACTACAAAATGAAACATCCTCCCAGGGGCCACAGCCTTCCCCAAAGCTGTGGTAGCTCTCCACAACCTTGGTAGTCAGAGAAGGGTGCTGGGGGTGCCTGACCTAGGAGAAGTGAGCCTCACACACAGGCACAGCTACAGTGTCTTCTTAATTTTCCTCTTCAAGTTATTCAAGGGAGCTGTGGTTTTTGCCCTGAGCAAAACTTCCTTAACAGCCAGGAATCTCAAAGCAAACATTATTTTATTAGGTTACAAAGGCAGATGAAAGCAGAGTGTTCCACTTGGACTCTTTTCTGAGTCAATTAATGCATTAGCTTAAAACAAGCCCTCTGAGAGTTCCTGTTGTTCTCAGCAGCTTCTAAGAGAAAGTGCATGGAACAGAGAGTGAACTATAAGCATACATTTGTACCTAGTCACTGGTAAGAAAACTGTTGTCATGGTGCAGCTCCGCTCCAAGGTAGCACTCACCTCAAAGGCTGTGAGGTATTTTTCTTTAAATAAAGCTTTATTTTTTCCAATGATCAAGGAATTTAAGCTTACAATTTATGTGACCTTCTGACTCAAAGTAACTACAGTTGCTTTAATAAAATATTTATGATTTTAAAAGCATATGGCAAATGCCTAAGACTGATTTTTTTTCAGTTATGCTTTTACCTCCAACAACAACTTATAAAAGGCACAGTGGGGGGAAATACACTTCTCAAAACTCCATCCATTCATCCATCCATCCATCCTTCAAAATAATAACTAGGACCATACTAAGAGAACCAAAGACAGCCCCTACATACAGGGAGCTCGATCTGGACTTTCAAATTAAAGACAATATTGAAAATTAAGATGACACTGCTGGGAGATGCCTTGGACATAAGTAGTGGTCTTCATAACACTTGTGATGTTCCTAACACCAAAAGCAGAATTCTTTGAGGAGGATTACTACCCAAAGGTAAGGCAGAAGGCACTTATCCCTTTGTGGGAAGGACCCTTAAGGAAAGAGCATTTTCACTGGCCTGACCAGGGGCCATGTCTTTAAAAAAAAAATCTTCAGAAAAAACCCACATCCTGATAGCATTTGATTATCCTGAATTTAAAATGTGATTTTACTCAGTAGCAAGGATACAAATTCATCCCCACAAATACAGCTTCTGTGGTAAAAGACACAGGATGACTTTGAAGGAGGATTTATCTAGAAGGTTGATAAATGGGGCCCTAGGATGGGATTCGTCAAATTCTGTCACCGGAGATCTCCCTGCCTTGACCTGAAGAATTCCAGCAATACCGGCTTTCTCAATACCTAGTTAGAAAGCCTTACAAGCAGTTTCAAGCACAATTTGTTCCCGTTTTTATTCCCTGCTCACTGAGCTATGCGCGGCTAAACATTTCCAGAAGACTGTCAAAACGTAAGCATCCTGAGGTTTATACACAGGCCACACCATTAAATAACATATAAGCGCAGAATTTTAAACATTGTTTTCCAGCAATGGTAAATATTTTAGCTAACTAAAAACTGAAGCTTGAAATGCAATAAGCATTTAAATGAGACTTTTCTGCGCCAGCATTTTTACTTTCCCCTGTGAGACCCTGGCTGCTGGGATTAAGGCAACCCCAGGGAGCTCAGCAAATGGTTGTGGCTTACGAGGTGCAGCAGGCGCTTGGCGACAGCGTGCCACCCAGCCTCAAGAAACCTAGCCATGACTGGAACCCAAGAATCAATGTGTTCACATTGTGGTCAGCTTCACATTTTTTCCCTCCTTGAAAAAAAAGAGCAGCTGCGAAAGTCAGGCCCGTCTCCCACCCCTCAGCTATGGCGAGGTGGACGCAGAGCAGAGCTGGGAGAGTCAGGACTGGAGAGGCAGGAGGCAGCTGGTGCCTTTGGGTAGCACGGGAGCAAGAGGGAGGAACACACCTTCAGCTCCTCCAAGGCTTTGGGAGGGAAGAAGGAGCTAGGAGGCACTGACAGCCGCCGCAACGCTGCTGACACGTGCGCCGCCGTCCCTTTGCGAAGAGGGAAAACCCAGAACAAATTTCACATGGTTTTCACTACATGGTGATTGCAGGCCTATTCAAGGCCTCTCACAGTCGTGCCACCCACTGAGCAGAAATCCATAGAAATTAGATCGCCTTCTAAGTCTGTGGAGTCTGTCTCTCCCCCAGCAGAAAAAGCTAAGAATCTTAAAGAAACAGGCAATGTGGCCCAATCTCCACTGGCCTCCCAGGGCCTCTAGCTTCTTATTTACTGAAGAGCCTCACTGTCAGCCCTGGGAGACTCTACAGGAAGCCAGGATGCTGTCCAATCAAATGCAGGAGCTCATAAAGCAGTGGGCAGGCCGGGTACCACTGATGGGACTGGGCCAGCACTTCTGTCCTGAAAATCTCATCTTCTATAAAATCGCGAGTGAGTGAGGCAAAGGAATGGAGACACTGAGGGACTTTTCACCAGACTCAGAAGACCAAAACCAAAGCACTTTGGCTTTATAACACATTTCTGAGACACACTTGGAGTTCTGAGACGGGATCTGGAGATTAAAACATAAATTTATCACCACCTTGGGGTGAGGAGGGATTGCCTCACAGATGGGGAGGACCATGTAGGTATGTGTTCTATTTCTGGTGAAGTTCACAAGTATCTTCATCTACACACGTGTGTGCATGCACATGCATGGACACATACGTACACACAAGGAGGATGTGTATTTTTTCTAGTTTTGAAATCTGTGTGTCAGCCTGCAGAAGCAGTGATGGAGAAGTGGCTATCTTCCATGGCAGAAGGGTTGGAGACAGAATGTTCACTCACAGAAACTGTCAACAGATCACTCAGTGCATTTCTGGGTAGCACAACTGCAGCTGAAAAGATAAACCTGATCAAGATGACCTTGCATGTCCAGATTGTACTGTACTAGCCAAATAGCAGCAAATGTTTGGTACATGATATGGGTTTTGGTATAATCCAGTCAGACCGAAAATGCAAATGCCACTTCTTACCAGTTTTCATGTCCAACTCCAATGAAACTTTGTATTCCTGTAAATATCATGTGAGGAAATAGCCAAAGAGCTAGCAACAAGGAGAGCACAAGATTCAGCATGTTAGTTCTGGGCTCATCTAGTATCAGCACAGTTGGTTTTGCTCACTCTGAGCTATGAAAATGAGGTGCACAGAATCTTGAAAGACTGTGCCAACGCAAACGCAACCTCCCCAACAGCGTAGAGAACAGAGCCCATCAAGGATGCTTACTGTTACTAGCCATGTAACACACTCAAGAGCAGCTCACTGGCTTTAAAAATAGTTTATTTCCACCTTCACAAACACACAAGCTTCTGGCCATTATGCAAAGCACCACAAATTAAATAAAACTTACATTAGAATATATTTGTCTTACATGATTCAAGATAAAAGTGGATTTTAAAGCAAGTGGATGCCAGTCATGGGGGAGGAGAGGGGCTTGTGGGTCTGTACCAGCCATATGCCACGTGCTCTTCTCTGCACGGGTGCCTCACAGGGAGAGCATCAAAATCAGCACATCCAACAGGGCCTGGGTCTCCTTTTCTCTGTCTAAAGAATAAAATGCCAAAATCACTTCCTTAAAGTGCTAAAACTTGGTTTCCTTAGTTTCAGTACCAGTAACAACATATGATTACTAAATATCTCCAATGTGGTTTTCATTATGAAAAAAAAAAGTTTCACATAAAAGCTTCATAATATAATCCAGAGACAAAATTTGTGCATGTTTAAAATTTGAAGCCAAGCTGGCTATTTGTGATTCTTTCCCATTTCTTCCAGTGCTTTTCATTTTTATACACACTCAGTTTCCTAACAGTTTAAGCACACTGGGGACACTTGGAGAACCAGGACTGCCTCTGTGTAACCTCTTTGAGATGCTCACCCTGACACAGGAAGGGGAACCCAAATTTCTGTTCAGACCTGCTCTTTCCCCCAAATCATGTTGGTGTTAACTCAATCCCAGCAAATGTCAGATACAAATACAGGTCTGTAGGCAGAGGCCCAAACAATAATGAGGAATAACCACATGATGATTTGGTTATGAAAACATACAGATAATGAGCGATTCCACTTAACAAAAAGCCTGGATATGAATTTAAATGAGATGGACAGGAAAGGAATGGGGCCTTGCTTCGTCCGGAGCGAGGCAAGGCGGGTGCTCTTGCTGCAGGATGAGCCACCCTGGAGCGGCTCGCTGGGCTCAGCCCTCCCTTGATTCCCTGATGGCTGCTTTTGAGGTAGATGCTGATGGTTTGAAGAGAGGTAGATAAAGTCCAAATTTGTTTTCAATCCCTGCGAACGTTGCAATTGCCAGTTTGTAGCCTCCAACATGATCAGGATTAGGAGCAGGCAATATGATCCTGGATTTAGGAACTGGCTCAGATCCCACAGGTTTTCTACAAGAAGAATAAACCAGTAAGAGTTCAATTTTATTTTATTTTTTAAATGGTAAAAGCATCACTCAAAAACTGTTATATGGGGGCTGAGGAGCTAGCTCGGCGGTCTAAGTGCTTGCCTTGCAAGCAAAAGACCCAGGTTTGATCCCTGGTACTGGGTGTAGTGGTGTAATCCCAGCACAGGGAGTCTGAGACAGGAGGATCACTACAAGTCTGAGCTGTGTAGTGAGACCCTGTACTAAATACATAAATAAGGATTAAAAAAAAAAAACAACCCTTGTTATATGCATCACAAAGGAGTTGTTGAACTCAGTCAGCTGTTATGCTCTCCTTTGAAATGACCTTGTAAGTTTTTCTAAATCTTTTCTAGTTCACCATTGGATAGAAATGGTCATGCTTTTCTCAATGGTAACTGAGGATGAGAAACAGCTGAAATTTAGCCACAGACATTTAGCATGATACTCACACTCCTCCAAAATCAATGTAGAACCATCGCTGTAGCAATTCATAAGTCAGCAAAGTGACACCAAACTGGGGTGAGGATCGAAATACACGTGCTTTAAAAAAAAACAGAAATTCAGATATCGTTACTTTTTTCCCCAAAAATTTACCTGATACCAAAGGATTAGTTAAGAACCAATTATTTCCATACCGCCAGCTCCTTTCCACAAGGCTTTCGGCCCTTCTTCCTGCAGTATCTTTCTGAAGCAGTCTATCACTCCGCTGTAAGTGGTTTGGCCGGCCCGGGCGGCCACCTGTAATCTAGTCTTGATAACATCAGCAGGGGTCACTAAAGATGCTGCAGGCATGCCTGTAGGAGAGACATAACACCATCTCAGGCTGCTCACATTCACGCTACATAAAAATAACTGTGCTTTCAACTGCAGGCCTTGGAAAGAAAGTGAAGCAACCAATGCAGCAAAATGCCCATGCACTGTCCTCCCGGGCAAGCGGGGCCATGACACTCTGCCCACCTGCTGTCCTTGGCTCCCCAGCACCCACTGTCCAATGTTGTTTCTATTTTTTTTTTTTTTTTGCGGAACTGGGGATTGAACTCAGGCCCTTCAACTTGCCAAGCAAGTGCTTATTCTACTGAGCCATCTCCCTGGCCCTCTTGTTTCTATTCTTAAAGACTTAATGTTAAGGAATTATTTGTTCATAATACTACCTTAAGTGGTTGAGAATAAATGGAGAATGTGGTTTCTAAGAATATTTTTTTGTTTTCTTGTTGAAATTAGAGCCTCGCAGAGTCTATCAGGGCTGATCAGAGGTAAAACGTGTTATGGGTTTCTTCTTCATGGCTTGCTGCCTGTGGGCAATCGGGAGGGGCCTGTCATGGATTCCACTGCCCTGAGCTCCAGCCCTGACTTTTCTCTTACACAAGAAAGAATGCACTCCCTGCCTGGCAAGTGCAAGGTGCTAAATTGGATTTCCAGTA